CCCGCCCTGGAACAACCCCGCAGCCTTTGGACCATGCTTCGGAGTCCCTACACTGCGACTGGGAAGCAGTGGTACTGTGGTTTGGCTGCGCTCCACTTCCGACTCCAGTTCTATGATGCGAGCTTGAAGCTGAGCAATGATGTCTGGATCGTTTGGATCTATGGGCTGCCCCTCTTCGGCACTGAGATACTCCTGAGCAGTCTGGGGATCCATGTCGTCGATCCACTGGCGGGCCAAAGCGGCCACTGACTCTGCAGACGGTTTGCCTGCTGAGCCCGCCTCGGTCATAAACCCTAGCGATCCGGTGGCTCGGCGCCTTGAATTGGAACATGCACTGCTGGGACCACTGAGGCTTCTGACGCATCGGCCCGAAGCTTTCGGATCCCATCGCCCGTCAAGGGCGTCCTCACTCTTCCCTGCGCTGAGGCCATGGTTCCCCAGCGCCTGCCACGTATGCCTCTGCCTCAGCCTGGCTGGGGAAGGCGTGGCAGACTGAGACCCGATGGATGCCACGCTGGGAATGATCTTGAACTGCTGAAGGTCCAGATGAGATCGGTCGTGCTGTGATCGTCAGTTCCAGTCCTGCCAGCCTAACAGTGATTGATTCGACTGCTTCGGATGACATGCACTAGTTTCGACGATACTCAGCAATGCGGCCCCGGTGATCCAAGCCAAAATTCTGCCCAGCCCAGGATGCACAAAGGAGTTGCAGCACTTGGCACAGGAATTTGCGAATCGGAGATGAGAACACGATGGATCCCAGGATGAAACCAATTCCGCAACAAAAGCAGCTTAGGATCACTCCGCACAAAATGACCACTCCCCAGGGGCAACTGCTGGACGACGAGGTGGACCAGAAACGCAGCTCCCGGACTGCGTCCACCAGGGCCCAAGATACCATTCCTTGACCCGAAAAGGCTGCGAGCCAGCTCTGATGCTTCCAACCGTCAAGGGATAGAAGGTCATTGTTTATTGATGTATGTTATACTTTTTTCATGTAAAATCGACGATTTGACAGATCGTTGATGTATGCTCTGACATCTCTGATTTTGAGGTTTTAGCTCCATGACATAGGAGTTGCGGACCCCCCGGCCAAACCTCATGACTTAGCCACAAAAAACTGGAGATACTTTTCACAACTCCTGTCCTTTCACCCTAGTATAACCCAAAACGTGGGCCGCTAACGAAGCCGACAGCTTCATCTAGTCGCACTTCAATCCCGAGCTTCGAGCACCCAAAAAAGAAACAGTCCACGACGCCCCGGTGTGGCGGTACCCGTAAACTAGATTTTTTCAACTAACGCATGAGTGCCACATCATCTTCACAATTATGACCAACTATGGCACGCAGCAGTAGGAATGTCAACAGCAACCAAGTGAACGTTGGACAAACATTGTCGAAGGCTATCGCGCACGCGAGGTGCTCAAAACCTGTGGTCTGCCGCATAGAAGGCAACTCTTTCCAGTGTGTTTGGTTCTGTTGATTGAGACAACTCCAGCTTTGCAAGCATCGAATCACGCAGGTGGTTCAGCCACTGGATGGCAAATGTGGATAACCAAATCACCCAGCAGCCAATCTTCCTCTACCTGTATCACCCTCATCACCATAACATGATATGAAGTCCACATAGGAAACACTAGCCCTTTCGCAAAAAGGCCCATGGTGATTCGTTCATCTCACTCAAACAGGCAGCGGCACTTGCCTTTCGATGGACTTTCCCACGTTCCCTAAGGCCCTAAGGCCCTAACTGCAGCACATCCAAGAGTGGTCCCCAACAAACAATCAAAAACCTGCCTGTGCTTGTGGTCTCTGCCCTAATGTCGACATATGATTAGTAATTATACCCTGAATAAAGCTAAGCAAATCCGGAAAATTCTACGTGGGCATTGCATCTCCTCCCCGAACTCCCCACACCACACAGTGACTTTGGCCTCGGTAGCTCTGGCTGGTCGTCGGCTGGTTCAGCTGTGCCTGCAGTCTGCACTTGATGAGCTCCACAGGTGTCAACACGCAGGTGGAGGCGAAGCCACTGCCACCCCCAGCGAGCACCAGCTTCCAGAAGGGCACTGGAGCACTCAACGTGGCCGCCTGGTCCGGGCGGAGAAGGTCAGACAGCGATGGACAGCGCCGTCCGAGAGAGGCACTGAGAGCCCCCGCCACACACTGCTTGAGACCGGAAAGGATTGTTGCCGATGGGCAGCATGCTCGTGAATGGGGGGATAGAAATTGACGAATGACCCACTTCGGGGGACACTTGAGGCTTTCGCGTTGATGAATCAAAGCAGCCTGGCGCCGCCTGGCCCGATAGTAAGACGTCCCAGTTTTGGGTAATGACTCGCAGTCTAAACCCGGTGGGAGGAAGCTCGAAAAAGGACACGACACGTCACCACACGTTGCATGCAACAGATCGACGATCGAGAAACTTTCGAACTTTGTGGACTCAGAATCCCAAGGACGCAATCAATGTCCCCAATGTCCAGCTGCCCAAGTCCGTGGTCCTTGGGCCGGCGTTTGGGCCAAGCGAGCGTTCTCGAGAAGAAGAAAAACTCGGTGCCTCCTCGTCGACGCCCAGGAACTTCTTCACATAGCCGTAGGAGACGAAGAGGCTGGCGCACTCCGCCATGGAGCCCAGCAAGGGAGCAGAGAGGCCACGGTAGAGTGAGAAGAAACCGGACTCGGCCAAGGTCTTGGAAAAGCAATCCTCAACCGCACAGAAGAGCACATTCCCAGAAAAAAAAGCTCCCCCAAAAAACGAAAAGGAACGGGAGAATTGGGCGCATCATGTGAAGATGCAGGTATGCAATGTTTGATGTGCAACTGGATTTCGTGATATGGAAGAAAATGTTGGAGGGAGTTTGATCAACTTCATCCCAGGATCGTTGCCTATCGGCCTTTTTGGTCTCTGGGTGGGGATCTGATATCGACCGCCGATGGAGAAGGAATACCTGTGACACTTCCCCGGATTCTTTCACCCCAAACTCTGCGAACGAGTGAGGGAAAAAAGGACCTGCCAGCAGTGAGGAACTCAACCCCACCGAGGCTCCACGATAGCAAACAGGAGAATGTTTACCCCTGCTTGATCCGATTTCCGTTGGGCAGCCTCACATGACTTCAACAAAAAAAGAAGCACACTCTGACCGAACCCCAGTCACCTCCTAAAGCACTCAGATGGTCTGATCATCTCTCAAGGCCAGCGGCCAAGGGCCCAGAGAAGCGGCTCCCACCAGTCTGCTCCAGCACCTGGATCGGAGCCGACGCGAAAGGAGCGGCCAGCGGAAGGGACGTGAAATCTCATCGTTGCGGGCAATGCATCAGAGAGGCGGGTCCCACAACGTGTCACAAAGCATCAAGAATCTTGCATCTGCTTATGTTTTTCAAAAAACACGTGTGCCACGTGCGGATATGATGTGGGCTTGATGTGGCGAAAAAGCCAAAGTGGGTGTCCCTTCGAGATCACCAACTGGAGCCCTTCGGGTGAGCTCCGCGACGTGTTCTTTGCGCATGAAGCTACATGAAGCCTAAGAAGCAAACTTTCACAGCCCAAACCCAACCACAGGGGGGTGTTCAATCCATCCACTGCCTACTCCACTGGTTGCTGGGCTGTAAAATCCAGGCAACCTGCCGGCTGTCGGTGGAATCCCTCAACGGCAGTGGGACTGAGGAGAGGAATGGAAAACCCCACCCACAAACCTTTATACAAAGGGACCTCACCCAAGAGAAGCGACGGAAAAATTCTGGGGACAGCCCCAATTCCACTTGGCCAAAGGCCCTTCTGCATCTAACCCCTTGAAATCCAGGAGCCCCGCCCAGTTCCTTGAGTCTTCTTGATCTTCTGGCCTTGATGGTGTCAGCCGGGTACTCCACAACTTTGCAGATGAAGCCAGAGACCATGCCACTGAACAAATCCCGCAGGCCATCCTTCCCTCGGATACCCCGGGCACTGCCAATTCGGTTTTAGTTCTTCTCGCATAAGAATAGCACACTGATCCTCATCCTCATCTGGAAGCCATCCATCCTTATCCATCATTATATCAGAGCCCTAAAATTGTCTGTTTCTACCGCACAGAGAATTGCAGCTTTGCTGGTGATTCAATTTCTATCTAGGTCCACCTGATCCAACACCTCCGTGGCCCGGACGGTGCAGAGGTCGCACCACCCTTTTCACTTCATCACACCTCACGACTTCTTCCGTGCTCGTTCCCCATCGACGGATGCTCTCCGAACTCGCTCCAGCCTGGGCTCCCGGAAAGCCATTTCTCGCTCATGAGAACACTTTGCAGCGAGCCAGCCAAGCGCCAGCACGAAGCACCACCAAAGCTCAGCTCAAAAGCGATAAACTCTAAAACTGCTCGGTTCAACAGATGCCGTTCTGCATTCCCAGAATGCGGTTCTGGGGTATTACTGTAATTAGCTTGCTATCCTTGGGTGCTTTTGTTTGGCGGCTTGCCGCCTGTATCCTATGTCAAAAGAAGATGCCTTGGATGCAAAACAGAGAATAAGAAATTCCTTGTTTGACCAGCTCGGGTCTGCTTCTACAATGGTTCTTCAATCTGAGCCATGGGCAGCTTCCGGTGCAATTGCACAATGACCGCACGTGTTCAGTGCATGATATGGAGCCCTCCGTTCAAAGCGCTGACAATGTCTCAAACGCGGCCCCTTAAGGCAAACCGCTTCCATACGATTCACCTACAGTATCTCTGCACACGAAGCTAGTCAAGTGCCCACTGCCCAGTCCGATCAAGCGAGCCGACCTGCATTCCCACTCTGCCGACCACACTAGGGGCGGACTCATCCCACCATCACACAGCACGACACAACCGTCAGAACCAACAGAATGAAGAGGGTCCTTCACCAACATGACTTGCACCATCCTTTACCCCTTTCCTTGGGAGGTTTGGATGATGACCTCCCCACCTCACCCAAGGCCCTTCACTTCACATTCATCATCGACCAACGAAGCGACAGCGTTAACAGCTCCGTCTCAGCTCCCGTCTCCCACCTCATCGTTGGACCCAGGTCACCGGTTGAGGATGCCTTTGACTCCAAGAGGAGGGCTCATCCAACTGACCCCGCCTGACCAGTTCCTCTCCATGGAGGGGAGCCATTTGGATCATCCCCCCCAAAAAAAGGATGCATGTCAAATCATGGCTCGGCCATGTTCCGCTTCCACACTGGCGAGCGGGGGTTGTCTGGACATTACAGTACGTCTAATGAAGATGAAAGCCCGCGGGGTTGAACTAGTAGCTATATATCTATCTTGTGTGTGTATGTGTCTAAATATATGTTATATGCGTGTGTGATCTGCAAACACACATAGATAACCTCCATAAAGTGATGGACATGTGAGCGTGGGGTGCTAAAGACTTTGACTCCCATTCAGATTACATGAAGATCCCTTATAGTATAAGACCAACAGTTAGAATATTCAAACATAAATAAGTTGCAGTTAGAATACCCTCAAAAAACAATATGCAGGGTTAGAGTAGTATGCGGTTAGAACAAAGGCAGTTGGAAGCAGTTACAGTAGAATAAAAGATGACAAAAGATCCTCCATTGCAGCAACACGTGTTTGAAGTTTGAACTGAATGTTGCCCTTTTTCTTGGAAAGACATTGTTCCATCAAATGGATCAAGAAGAAAACAATATTCTATCTGCATGTCGTATTCTAAGTGCAAGGTTTTTGCTCATCTGTCACCCCGCTCTCTGGCACTATTTATGTCTGATGATTTTTGGAACTAAAAATATTCTAAGTGTGAGCCTTACACTATAAAAAGATTTAAGACGGAGAAAAGGAAAGGATACTTTTCTACTTCTTTCCCACACTGCCGGGGACCCAAATTAGGCCACCAAGGTGCACCACATGCGCATGCGGCGCATGTCCCCACGCTGGCTGTGTCCTCAGCACGACTAGCTGACTAACCAGGCATACATTCTTGCACTTTTCAGAGCAGGAGAGGCATTGGAGCCCCCAGTCCCCTTCCGGCGGAGCCACGCCCCTTCATGAAAACCTCTCTGGCCCTCACCGCCGTTTTCGAGTTTATGTTCGCGACTGTTCGCGTAAAAACGCCAGGTGGCACCACTGCCGGAACGGTGTACATCGGCGCCTGGCGGGAGGAAAGATCTGCTTTGAGCTGCTCATGGAGCTGTCTGCCTGCTGTCGTCAAAAGTAGACGAGAAAACTGGAGCGACTCTTTTGTAGAAGGGTTGATGAAAAGTAAACATCGTGCAGTGATCAATGACGAGTATATAAAGTATCCAAGCTTCTAGCTTCAGAGTGGTGACCATTGTTGTTTCCCGTCGCCCGCTTGAAAGCGGAAGGTCGCAGAACAGAAAGTGCGCCGCTCACTTCCCCCTTCATTCCCCGTTGGTTGGTTGTCTCACAGTCTCATGTTGCCATGGATCAATCTGGCCTGTGTCATCAATGCTGGCTGCGTCACCGGGGCTGGCGCTGAGCCGACGGCGCTCGCTGTCGGTGATGGGTGAGCCTAAAACACGGCCGTGCGGGACGACAGTCGTGGGTGGAGGCGTACTGCATACAATGCTACACTCCAAACATGGTCTCGCTTGAAACTGAGGACATCGCACGCACGGCGCAAGACATGCTCTTTGAGTCTAGGAGAAAGAGTTCGCAAGATCAGCGCGGCCTCCTACCTCCTCCAACTTCCCTCGCCACCTGCGACCTTCTGTCGCGCCGAGGTGCTGGGAGCGTCACCACTGGGCGCCAGATCCGGGGAGTCACCTGAGTGAAAAACAAAAAGAACAATCAGATGCTTGGAGAACTGCCACGCAGGTTTTTCGGCCATTCCCCTTGGCGGAAAACTTCCAAGATGGCCATGATGAATGATCCAACTGCCCTAATGCTGCAAAAGGCGTGGAGTAGACTCTAGCTTAACCCACTGGGGCCTTAGGCCCCGCAGATGAACTAAGATGAACAAAAATCAAATGGAGAGGTGAGTAGAGTATATACCTGGGGCCAGGTGATATCAGTTGTTGGGTTGGATTATTTTTGTTGCAGGTCCTGGGGTGGCTGAATGAAAGATCGGCTGATGTCCCAACCCAACACATCAAAAGAACCAGCAAGAACCTGGCAGAAACCCGAAACACAGTAGTCTTCTCGCTGAAGCTTGAAAGGATCGCAGTGCTGCAGGTCCATACTATGCCCACCTCTGGGAAACTGCATGACTCCAGTCTATGGGCACATCGCGGGGGCTACAAAGATCCTCAGCAGGCGTCGGGGCCATGTCTCCCGGAAAGAATGCCACATGCTGTACCACCTTGGGAAGATCTGAAAGCCTTTTGACCGGGATTTCCCAGGCAGAGCGCCCAAGCATCTCCTGAAAAGGCCTGCCAAACGACACACACGAGATGAAAAGAATAACTCTCTTACAATGTTTTGTAATGCAAGCCCGCCGCAGGCTGCGTTGGCCAACTCGTCTGTCTGGGAGACATTTGGTACCAAGTGCCAGCCACCTGAGCTACAAGTCGCCAGTCCAAGAACCGAAAAGCCCCACCCACAGACGGTCCCACATCGGTCTGTGAATCTGAAGTGGGAGAGTACTTGGACCAAATGACATCCAGTTCGATCACTGTGTCATCTAAACCGCTCCACTAGGTCACTAGGGGGATGTCCCCACCACCTGAATTCACCTGGGTGTGGAAATCCAAAGCAGACTGGAACCGGATTTCCCCCTGTGCCGTTGGTCTGGATGATCGGTACCAGTGTGCCCAAAGCTTAAGAGAAGGTTTATAAAAATCAAAAAAAAAAGAAAAAACTCGATCTTTCCCGAGGGCGATGGCGGCACCAGTGATGAATGACCAGATCGCTTGCAGAACGCTGACTGAAGGTCCTAGATACAAACCAGGACACCTTCCTGAGTTTGGTGTACGGCGATGTCCAGACAGCTGTTGTCCTAGTCCTTACGATCTAATATCCCTCCATTAGGGTGGAGGCCATCGCTAGTAAACTGGAGGACATCGCTGGTTGCGGTCCCCATTGCTAGTAGTTTTTTCCCTGTTACTATCTACAATATCCCTCTACATAGTCCTGCTGTTCATCCAGTTCTACCCATTGATCTGACCCAAGTAGACTCACCGACTGCCTGGGCGCTTTGGCCAAGCCACAGCCTGGCGAGGAGTAGCGCAAACCGTTTGCGGCCTTAGACTTCCAACAAGCGCGTGGCTTGATACATGTGCACAAATATATATATATACATATATATGTGTGTGTGTGTGTTTTTTTTATGCACCTGTATATACAACTATGTATATGCAAAGTAGTACATGAATCTGTCTATATACTTATAGTATCTCATCCAGGAGCCGGAAGTCTCGGGAAAAAATGAAAACACTCAGGAAGGTGGATTCGTGGCTGGCCCTTTCTAAGGGAAGACCATGAAAAGTCCACCAAACAGGTGGGGTGCACTCCGCGACGCCCTGGGTGTCCAGGAACAAGCCCAGCGTTTGGTGGGGGCTACGGAAGAAACATTCATCCAATATCTCATATGTCCCAGGTAATGTTTCAATCTACCCAATGTATTCCAATGTCACATGTCTCCACAAATATGGAAGTGGAAAAACATGCATGATGGCAGCTGATAGCATGTATTCGACTCGTCAGCACGGTCCCAGGGGCAAAGGTGCTCCAGCATCCACGCTGGCGCTCAGAAAACCCGAGCCTCAACACGCATCACGAGCGAAAACCCAAAGACGTGCCAAACAAGGACCGTCGACTGGATCGTGGTAGAGTGGGGGGTCAAACCCCCAAACTACTTTAGGGAAGTGCCCAGCTGTAAACTGGATCCTGGTAGCTGGTAGTAGACTGGACCTTAAGTTTTCTTGGAGCAGCTTTTGGGCGCATGGGCAGTGCGTTGAAGCAGAAACCATCATCACAAAACTTGGCCACACTACTACTATTTTAATGTCTTTCCGTGTGGTTCCTTCTTGTGACTTTACTGCTTTATTCTTATGCAATTCTTCACTGTTCATCAGTGACTGCGAAACGCATGCCGTCTGATTGAGCACTGCTCCAACCAAAACAGGCTAGCCGGCTAGCCTACCAAGTTTTGTCCATGTTTGCAAAGCTTGGACATGCGCCATTCTTCCCCAGGCCACTTGGGGGTTGGCTGGAGGCACTTGCCCGCACCGGCACCGATGCAGTTCGGGCGGGGCTGGAGGACGCCGCCAGCCTGGAAGTAGAGCAGGGCTTAGGGCAACATCTCAACAGTTGCCGCCATGAATGGATCCAGTGATCAGTGCACTGAACCAGGGATTGGCTAAAATGTGCCTTATGATGGTGGAAGAGTTCCAGAACGGGACGCATTCATGTCCCGGCCACCGCGCAGCAATCCAAACCGCCCAACAAGCAGTAAAGTAGGGCTGACCGTGCCTGGTCCTGGGGATAAAGCCATCTCGGCCTTCCTCAGACATCGCTCCCGAGAACTGGATGTTCAACCAACTCTCGACCAATTCCGAGTCAGGAACCAATTCACATCGGCAGAACTCCAACCGCCGAGCGGCGACCGGCCGTGCGCGAAATGCCACTGGCTCCGCCACCCAAGGCTCCTGGCGCCCAAATGGGGGGTCCAGCCCATCCACAAAAAAGCACGGGCTTCATGCAGTCCAAAGAGGTGGGCTTCACCGTTTTCAACCCACCTGGTTCAGAAAGGAGATAGACAGAGTGGACTGTCCGTGGGAACCCACCCAGGCCCTTTGTAGGTGAGGCGCAACAGCTCTCATTCCCAAACTGGTTTTTGTCATATATGTGTGCCTTTTTCTCGGCCGGAGGAGGAAACGAAAACAACTGGAAGCTCATGCGATGCGTGAGCCGGACGCGCGGTGGCGCACACGCAGGTCATGAGATGATGGTGCTGGGTCTTGCTAACTGAGGGTCTGGTGACGTGTAGTGCACATATAAGATGTTGCAAGGAAGGGTATCAAGGATCAGGCTTAGAGTTCAAACGCTGGATGGATGAACCCCTTGGTCGTCAAAGGTGGGGCAGTTCTTGAGCCAAAGCTCCAACGGTAATTATTGTATATGTATCTGTGTATGTATGTGTATGTGAAAAAATGTGTATATATATATATATACACACACACATATATATATAATATTATATATATACACATGTAGAGACTAGTTACAGTAACACTTCCCGTGGTTCACCGTGATTTGACCGTGATGTCTCCAGCACGGCCGTTGAGACCCTAAATTAGAAAACGAAGACGGGGGAAAATCGGCCCAGCCTCTAGACTCAGCCTTCTCAAGCGATCTTCACAGGAGATACAAATGTGATTCCTCTCCACATCATCTGCTTCGTGATGCATCTCCACTTCACGCAAATCCCGTCCTGCACCACCAGCGGTGCCGGCGGTGTAGGGGCTGAGGCCATCTGCCCACCTGAGCCACGCACAGTGGTGATCTGCCGGAAAGAACAAGTGCGGTGCTGTGGAAGGAGATACTCCCCGGAACTAGCATGAAGTAGATAAACCCGCTTTGTTTCTTTACGGGGCCATGCCAACCACTTCCATCTGTTAGTTCGGTGTACCCCCGCAAACCCAGCCTCCTGTTGACTCTTTGACAAACTATCATGTGACGGGGCGCTGCCAAAACTTGGGATTGGAGCACCAAGCATTGTCCACTTGTCCACATCTTCTGCGTAAGGACCACATAAAACCGTGGGTCCGCGCACACCTTGCAGACCATCAACACGATGGATGCAATGCCTCTGCCGCGGCATTAATTCTAAGTATATAGTGCGTTTCGTCTTCTCACCCCGCCTGATGGACGTGCAGACGAGGGGCGCTTCACTGGGCCTGATGAATATGACTCAAAAAGAAAGAAGCTGGAACAATATGGCTCACCCTCTGAGATTGAGACATGAGTGGCATGAGTCATATGATATGTGTCGAGGTTCTTCCAGAGTTGCTTGATTCTCTAAGATTCTTTGTTTCTGCGTGCTGCTCATCCATTCCGTGCCCACGAGGAAACTGCTGCGTCTGCTCTTCTTCTGAGTCCGCGGATGTCCACTGGGTCATTCTCGAACTGGGTCACTGGGTGCGCCATCTATTTACTTCCCTGATTTTCATCCACCCCCCCCCCAAAAAAAAAAGCGGCAATCAAGTATAATCAAGTCTTCGTTTCGTGATGCGTCCTCCAAACAGAAGGGGCTTTCGGGCTTTCAGGTGGCTCGGAAGCAAGCTGCAAAAAGCACCGCAGGCTCGTGCCCGCCTGGCTTGGCCGCTTCACTTTCTTCTGCACCCTCCTGCAACTGCTGGAGACATCGCACAAAGACGTCGGGCACTACCTGGCCAAGACGTCGGGCGGAATGGAGAGTTCAGAGTTGGGAATTCTCCGGGATCAACGCATGGCTTTAGCTTCAACACATGGTCTTGGTGATTCTTAACCCGGCCATGTTGGGATCTTTCAACAAGGAATCATCAGACAACGGGGCATGATTTTATAGCCCTTTTGAGACTTGGGGATGCTTTCCTTTCCAGGCAAGAAACAACGGATGAACTATTTTTGCCAGTATACCTGCTGCAGTCCGTCCATCCATGTGCTTTTGTGTAGCGTCTTCCAAGTGAAAACCATCTGACAGTCTGAACGAGTGCGAATGCCCATGTGTAACAAATTGGTGCAGAATCCAGGCCCCGCTGGGGTGATCACCCATACTGTGGCCTCCTTCAAGAGTCGCCTGCCTCCTAGGACTCCGACTGGGGCCATGTTCTGTCGGATATGTTCCGACTGGAGTGTTTTTTGACCTTGTTGATGTCTCCCGAGTCTTCTTGGAGAAACCGAGACCATTGTTGCTGGTGTCCACATATCATCAGTCATCAGTCATTCACACTTCCCATGGGTGGGTGGCGCTTGATGTCTATCACCTTCAGGTGAGCGCTTCTTTTGAATAACGACAGCATGGCAGACATATATATATATGTGTGTGTATATATATACAGATTCTTGTCTGGCCTTTGGGGCTGGCATTGTCTTTCTGCACTAAGCACAGTGGCGCCATCTGCGCAATCGACCAGCACGGGGCCACATACTCCAACCACAACGACAAGCTCCATGCTGGCTGCACCTCCGATGGAAGCAGCGCCAAACCTCACAGGAGCTCTCTCCGTCCCCCCAACAGCCGGACCGCTCGGTCCCTCGGACAGCTGGACCGAGATCGAAGCAAAGTCCATGAACACACCGATTCACCTCCCTTGAATCAACACCACTCGACCTGAACTGACAAGAACTGACAGTTTGCGCATGTTTACGTCCTCCCCTTCCCAAAATCCAAGCCACAGGTGCCGTCTTTCATCTTCAACGCGCAAATGCGCCAGGGCGGCTTGCACCTCGAGCTGGTTCGCGGACGAGAAGAACATCAAACACCTACGGACAGTGACCTCTTGCTTTCCTTTTTTAAGCCCGCCCCTACTCAATTAAGTGGGTGCCTGCTTAATTAAGTAAGGAAGGAGGCTACTAGCTACTTGAGCTGATAACACATGGAAGCAAGATAGCTCACGCTTCTTCAAGGAAGCTCCCCCGCAGCTGTTTGGATCAAGCCCACTCAGCTTACGCGCCGGCACGCGCCGGGGCTGGGTCACCTCCTGCCGTGGAGGGGTCCAGCGTCCACAGAGCCTCGCTTCCACAAGCTGGGCAGTGCCATGGATACTAAGGAAATGGGATCAACACATGAGCTACGAGCAGATGGTGCGTTGATGAACTGGGCAACTGCGAGCTTGCCTTCAAGCCTGGCGGTTTCGGTCCAGGATGCTTTGAAGGCCATAGCTGCCACCGGTGTATGCAATGACGGGCTTGCTGAGTGGGTTCTCTTTGGTGAGGTTGTGCAGGTACGTTGTGGTCCGCCCAAAAGTGTACATGTGCGCAGAACCTCCATGCTCCTCAATGACGACTTGATGGCCAATGATGGTTGGAAACAATTTGAGGTTTGTTGTCAGGCAGACCATGCACGGGTTGACTTTACACCTGGAATGTTCCTTGGCCTCCTCACGAAGCCGTCTCACCGACCGGTGGTTGGTACGGTGATTGCTGATGAGCAAGCGGTGATTTGGAACATTTCGATGCTTGATTTGAACCTTGCCTGGAACGTTTCTCATCTCTTCTCAGGTGCTTACGAAGGTTGGCTGAGATCGATGAGTTGGCTCCAACAAGCCAATGTCGGGCAGGCTTTTGCATCGCACACCTCAATAGACTGGTGCCCGGCAGTCATGAAAACGTGGGCATATAATCACAACAAAGAGTTCTGGTGCTGTCCAATCAAGGTGAACTACAATCCCCCGGACGTGTATAATGGAATCCTGGCAAACATCAGTGATCCTTCGATCCTTCGTGCCTCATCGAACAGGTCAAACTTAGTCCTGACATTATCTCCTCCATGCCCTAGCTGGAGCAAAGGTGGCAAGAATTCCGGGCTGGCAACAGAAGAAGGGTTCTTCTTTCTCGATGCAATTCTACATGTTGCTCGCTGCAGGCCTGTACTGGCACTCTTTGAATGTTCGGATGGTATTGAGGCGCATCCTCATTGGCGTGCTCTCTCAGCCGGACTCCAATTAGCTGGGTATGTCAAGATTTGGTCACAAGATGTAGCCATCCATCAACTGACTGGCAACCACAGGACACGGTGGCTCGCAGTATGGGCTCGAACAGACGTGAAGTGTCAGAGGTCATATGAGAAGATAATGTGCAACATTCCTCGACGACTGGCATGGGACGATGCACGGCATCTTTTTGCCTTGCCCAAAGCCTTGTCCGCTGACCTTACTTTACAGAGTGAGTTGATTGAGATCTACGGAGACAAGAAGTTGCTACCTCCTGCTAAGCGGGCCCGGGTTGGTGAGGTAGCAACTGCTGCACAAGTGCTTTCTGCAAGGTTGTTACAGCAAGGTGAATACTTGCCCACTCTGTGCGCTTCCTATACTGCACAACATCTTCTACAACGTGAGCATGTGGAGGAAAAGGGCATTTTTGCTACGTTGCTGCACAAAGGAGATGAATTTCGGTTTATTGACCCTTTTGCTTTTGTTTCGCTCTTTGGTACTTCGGATTGCATTGGGTTACCAACTGATATTCGTCGCGCCTTTCATCAGTTGGGGAATGCCATTTCGCAGTTGCATGCCCTAGTGGCCTTCCTATTTGCCCTTGAAGGAGTTTCTGATGAGCAAATGTCCAAGTTGACGCTTCTCCGACAGTGCTGGGAAGATAGGCTGACATCCCAGAACGCAATTGTCCGCACCTGTGGTGATATGTATGTACTCCAGCCTATTGCTGACTTTGCGACTAAAGCTATCCCAAGTATTGGGACTTGGCAGCCTTGGCTCGTTGGACACACTTTGATTCGCTTTTGTGATGATGCCGCACTCATCCCAATCAACATGCAAGATGACATCAATATCATTGACCAGCTACTCATGGCACTTCAGCTTGAGTCACATCATGCGGAATTGCTCAAGCTTGTTCGTGATGGTCGAGACTTACCAAGCAGCATTGGATGGAACGAGTTGTCAGATGGAGATTTTGGACTAAGACTCGGAACTGCAGATCTGGGAACACTGAGAGTCTTCTGTATGAACAGAGATGGAATGCTGGAAGACCCCATTGTGTCGCCTACGCAACCATGGAACATTGATGAAGCTGATCCGGAGCTGGACCACCTTGTTGATGCTCACTGCAATGGATTTCTACATGTGCTTGAACACCTCTGCCAAGATGATAGCCCATTGCATGTTGGTAAAGTACTTTTCCTACTGCAAGATGGGTCTTCTGAATGGATCAGCAAGGCCAACTTAGACCGAATCGGCAGCATTCCAACCTTTCGACATCAAGGAGACTCTGTCCATTTCTTCCAAGTCAATCGTGAGGCCTGTCGAGTCATGTTGGGAACACAAGTTATCATCGCCATCCGGGGTGAGTATGAGCCTCTTTCCAATGACAAGTGGATTTTGCTGGCGGGTGGTTCCGACCTCAAGTGGTGCAAAATCAGCAAAGTGCCGCGGGGAGTTACTCCGACTCAATGCACTATTGAACTCCAGCAGAACTGTCAGATTATCAAGCGCAATCTTGTGCATTGCCGACAAGAACAACCTCTGATGCTGATCAATGGTGATCTACTCTGGTGTGATGCGCGAGTGCAGAATGCATCATCCATTGTGTTTGGTGGCATGGACAGACTCATTGACCACCCAAGCTGCAATATCCTTGGCGATCGAGTTACAGAAAGGATGCTTCAGTTTAACCTCGAACCAGGAGCACTTGCAATTGACGAGATTGTCTTCCACTTCGATTTCCTGCAAATGTTGATGCCTTCAGTTTGCTGGTGCCCTCCTGCCATCTGGATCAGCAATGAAGCGCAATTCCGATTCCCTCCTGAGCCTGCGGATCTTTTGCTCTGCTTCCAGCACTTCGTAGTACCAATTTTGGTCCTCTTTGATTGGATCTTTGTCGAGGTGAGGTTCTTTGAAGGGCAATGGAGGGTCCTTTACCACTCCCCAGAACAACTGACGCACAGACAACGTCAAGCCGTGCTTGAGCTCATCCACTTCATGGGGGTCCAAGTGTTGCCGAAGGCTTTTCGCTGGATTCGAACTGCAGAAGACTCGGACCTAGCTCCGTGGTATACACTCAGAAGCTTCTATGCCCGGGCTGGAGCACCTTTGCTCCCACAAACACATCGAACAACTCAGCGACTTCAACGTGTTCAGAACAATCATCATGTCATGCAGGTGATCGACCAAGCTGACCTGGTTTGGAGAGACTCACAGGTTGATGACAGAATGCTCCAATTTGCCAGAGCAAGCAGGAACGCTTTTCTGGTTGCTATTCTGGAAGCACCAAGTCGAGCGGAAGATCTGGGCGTTCGTGCCACGGGAAGGCCCCCATATCGCTACAGCGTCAATGAGATCTTCTTTGTTGCTGATGAATGGTTGGACATGAGATTGAATATCTATAGAACCCACCCTGGGTGGGCCTCCAATGATGAGATTGAATTTGCAATGGCCTTCTTTTTACCCGAATCCTTCTGTCCACCGGTTTTGCATCATGATTTGTCAATCATTGCAGCCAGTGTCAAGCCCCTATATGAGGATGTACAGCGATTCGTTGCACTCCGAGAAGGGCACTGGATTGGCATTGAGGTCATCTGCAATGCCAGAGAACACACGTGTAGAGTCGTCTTCCTCCAAGTGCCACCGAGAGACCAACGGTTCTGGGCAAGTTTTGCGGAGGACTTCATCGTCCCTGTTGGGTTTCGTCCAATCATCATTGTGGACACTAGCCGAACGTGGCCGGGCATGTGTGGTTGGGAATTGCTTCACCGTTGGATTGTTGTCGATGTATCACTGCCTGACACCTTTCACATTCCACAACAAAAGAGGCAGCTCGTTGACCAAATCCTTGAAGAATCTAATCAAGCTTGGAGAGCCACACGTGCTCCACCTATGCTGCGGACTTATGCTGAAAACATGAGAAGGCTCTTCCTTGTTGTTGGTGGGCAACAACTGCTCCACCCATGCTCTGCACTGTCACTTGGAGGAATGGAAGGGACGGCCTCGCCGGATACTGCGATGGCCACCCCAGATCCGTGGCAGTTCGACGACCCGTGGACCACCAAACAGAAAACACTGCGACAGAGTAAATGGGAGGATCTCCAGCTGCAGTCTGACCATCCTTTCGTTGACAAGAACAAGACCCCGGTGCCTTTCGTGCAAAAACAGCAACTTTCCACCAACAAGGGTGGGATCGCCTTCGTGTCCAAAGGTAATCTTCAGCAAGCCAAAGAGGTCGTGCCCAAGGAGCCCTGTGCACTATTGCTGCCAATGATTGACCCAATGGATGCACTGGGGAAATTGGCCAATTTGACAGGCCCTTTCGAAGTCATCGTCTTTGACCCAGCAATGAATCAGGAGTACAAGCGGCAAGTACACCTGTTGGTCATCACGCCAGAAGTCACATTCAAACTGCCGACACCATCTATCACTCTCACTTTGGCTGCCGTCAGTGAGATTGTCCTGGAATGTGATGCTCGCCTGACTAGCAAAGATACTTTCAATGCCTTCTATGACAATCCGTTGGCCAAATTCAAGATCCACCTCAAAGAAGTTTGCTCTGACCCAATTTGGGGTCATGCGGCCATCTATGGCTATCGAGTCATTCAGGAGCATTCCAAGGAGAAGCACGATGTTGTACATCAATGCCTGTTGAAGGTGCAGCAGACGCATCGAACCCCGCTCCTGGCAGCCAGCGGAACTGGCGAGCTTATTGTGAGGGACTTTGTTCCTAAAGGAGCACAAGTACCAGATCTATCTATCATTCCAAGATTCTGGCCAGTCGATCGAAC